TCGCTGCACACATCGTTGAAAGTATACGTGATCGCCCCCACCCCGTTTCACCAGGTGAGAGAGGGACTAGAAGAGGGGTGGTCCTCGCGGAAAGTGGAAAGGGAAATCCCCCCACCAGACATCCATGTCCAATCCCCTCTCCCCCACCACTTTTCGCGCGCCGGCAACTATACCCGCGGGTGCCAACGAGGAGGGTCTATAACCGTCCTTTGTCGAGTCGTGCTGCCACCTGTGCAGCAGCTTTCGTCGACCTTGCCCGTGACAGGTCGTCACTGACTACTTCGAACTATCCGCCGGTCGAGCTCTTCGAACCGTCGACCTTGCCTGTGGCTGGTCGTCCCTGACTACTTCGAACTACTCGTGACCTGTCGATCTTTCGTACGAAACGTTTTGTTTCTAAATTAAAATACATCAGTTCCCAGACTACATATCATATGATTCTTTGAGAATGTATTCTATTTTATATTATTATTCTTTTACCTTTTCAGCAGGATCAGCACGTGGTCGAAAAGTAGAAAAATTTGTTGAATAAACAGCGTTCACTGCCTAACGACGTATTTCTTAATTGATTAAGTCCCAATAATTATTGAAAAAGTCTATTATGTTTTAACTATATGATCTCAATTTCACTTCCCGTTGGGAATCAGCAAGTGACGTTTGATCCAAAACGTAGAGGCATTTATTAAATACACTTACTGGAGACGGGTGTCTTCGCGCACACCTAGAGTAAAAACTATTAATTCAATCGAACCAAACGATCAATTAAAACATTTTTTATCCTGCAGTAAATCGAGCAAATCGAATTACGTGCTGCACTACAGGGTTCGGAGGTATGGCGAATGAAATGCAGACTTCGGATATTAGATAAACATGTCAAACGCAAACGTGACGCGTGTATCGTGCGAATAATTACGGGGTTCAGCGGACGATGAGGTTGACAGCTCTGTCTGACGAACTTCCCCCGTTACGTGCGCCTTTTACTCGTGATCTGTTATTATAGATTAATTTATAGTCAGTTTTTACATGTCAGATCCGTACGTAACGTGCTCGCATACGGTGGACGTTCCATGGCTCTCGCTTATGGGTTCAAGCGACAACTTTTTATCGCGACATGAATTTATCGAGCTAGGTCTTAACCCGTGTTCTCGCGTTCCAGGTATGTCCGGCGATGAAGAACGCGATAACCGTGTATAATTATATTTCGGCATCTCTACAGGAAAGTTTCATACAATTTGTTGGTTGCTAACACTATGTTCTTACTTCGTACGCAGGTGACATTATCGCTAAAGACAGGATATACTAAAAATAAAGCTTACATAAATCCTTCGGTAGATCTGGAACGTAACCTTAGATTATTATGCTAATCAGCTTTATTCTTTCAAATTAACCCATATTAATGTAAGTTATCGTTCGAGTAATTACGAACTAATCCTTGAATCTTACAGACTAATATTTTTCCAACTACAGTATCGTTATTTATTACTCGTTTAGTAATCACTACTCAAGATATACATAATACTGAATTCATTGATAATAAAGGATAGACAGATAAGTAATATACGGTTAAAAAGGATTTCTGCAAGTGTAGGATAGTTTTTGAGAACACATTTTTCAATTCGTAGCGTTGCTCCGCCATTATCCTAATCCCAAAAACCCAATCGCGTAGCAGGTCATGTAATGAAAACGGATTGCGCGCAAAGTACACGAAACGTTGAACCATATCATCTTTCGTTTCATTTGTATTCAAATTCCAGGCAAAGTGTGAATCATTAGTCGAAGCGTAACAATGCGTATAGCCGATGCATTTAACATGAATCGCATGTACGCGCCGTGCTACACTATAGGCTATAGGGTAGAACGCATTAACATGTTAATGCCTTGTCTCGCGCTACAGTTAACCGTCTCGGCTCACTACGGCTAAACGTGTTAGTTGATCCACGGCATTAGTAATTCAAAGCCTGGAGACACCTACAACGCGCACAATCATAATAAAACACCTCCGGTGTGTCGTGTTTGCGGATCGACTCGATACTAATCGCTCCAATCACGATCAACGCTGTTTCGCGACCCGAGATGGGCGGAAATCTTATCTAGATTGTTTTCAAGTTGCTTCTTCTACTACGTTTTTATTAGTGGTGTTTTTATTTTTTATATACTTTGTAGTCGTTACTTTTATTTAACATTGCAAAAAAATCCGTTGCGCGTTAACTTGAATCGTTTATATTTCTCAAGTAAGATTTTACCCATCTCTGCGAATCATTTTTCACCACGACTCTTTGATTAGGAAACAATAAACACTACGGAGAGGGGTTGCTTTTGCCCTGGAGATTAATCTATCCGTCGAATCAAGAAACAATTGCATTATCAGCATCACTTCGAACTACATTTCTGAAAAATATCTTACAAATTTTAATATCGGAACGTCCCTTGTTAGTTTACACGCTGATCTTTGGTACGCGGCCTAACACAGCGTTCACGCGACGGTACCGTTTACACCGAGCGTATCAAGTTTCAAAAAACTACGACTAATGAAATCCTTTGATCACTTTCTTTTACCAACTACGTTACTAGATATCGTCGCGAAACACAGGGGAACAAGGAAAATCTAGCCTTAATTAACCTTCCTCTATCAAATCGATACGCTATCATCCCCCACACCACAATTTCGTTAGTAACGCTCGGTGTAAACTAGCTCGAACGACGCACGATTCGAAGATGGCCGAGAAAGCGCGTTGTTTCACCGCGAATTTCGTGGCACCGACTCCGTATCACTGGCTGGATCGGGTACCTCGATTCATCGACAACTGGTACGTGGCGAGAGCGAGCACGAACAACGGACAGCGGCCACTGTTCCTCCCCCGTGGGTCGGCTCCACGATTCCCGATCCCGAAGACGCACCCGGCTTCGATCCTCTCGGTAACACACGCACAGACCGGGGAAATCCAAAATCGATGTGCGACGACGACATCGGTCAGCGGCTTTAGGCTTGGGCGTAGTCGTAGCGGAACGTCGACGTTCTGTGCCGTCGACAAATTCGGTGTCGCATTCTCGGAAAGTCACCGATGTAGGGATAGAAGAGCGATCAAGGGGTAGGGGGTTTTAAGGTGGAGTCAAAGAGCGGAAGCGTGGGCCGACGGAGAGGGTCGAAAGACGAAAGACGACATCGGCCGCGAACGAAGAGGGAGAATCCACCGACTCACACCGTCGGAGACACTCGCGTACATCGGCTCCTTACACTCGCACGCTTACGAGCTTACGAAGCGTATACGCATAGTAGCTCACCAAGTCACCAAACGTGGAGGGGTGAAGGGAGCATGGAGTAGTCCGTGGAGAGGAGTTGCGCGCGGCTGTGTGTAGACCGCGGTGTTAACAAACGGTACACTAATGTTTCACATCTCGGTGTGCCTCACCGTATGCTCTCATCTCGCTCCACCTTCGCCGCCGTGGCGAGCAAGAGCGCGAAGTAGTAGCTCAACGTGCCGCGCACACTGCAGGGTGACGAGAAAGGCGGCATCGGGGTTTGGTGGTAGTACGACCGGCTTCGCGCCAACAGGAGGGGGCACGGAAAGGTGGCGAGGGCGGGGCGAGGTTAGTCCGCGCCCACGGAGGGGAAAAAACCAAAGCTCCGCACCCATACGCGGCCCGGTGGAGGGGGAACGAAAGAAGTGTGGAAGGGGACGATTTATCCGACTCGCTCTGACTCTTTCTCACGAATTGCACGCCACGGACGCCCGTCCGAGCGAAGGGTAAGCGTCAGCGCACGAGATTCACCGTGAAACGGAGAAAAAAATCTTTGTACGATCGAGCAAGCCTTGTTTAGGTGGAAATTTCGAGTTAGGAACAAATGATTCGTAGAATAAAATTAAAATTACTTGGTGTGAAAATATTACACTCTTAGAGAAACATTTGTTTTTCCGGATACTCTTCAACATATTTCAGACTGTGACATAATTTTGAACTATATATGCATTGCAATGTTCACAGGGCCTGAATATTAGTTAGGTAAAGTAGATACATTCGTTTCCATTCTGGTGAGGATTAAAGCAAGATGTTATAGCCATTGTATCAATAGAAAGTAGTATTGGAAGACGTTAACGGGTCTGATTACTTACAGCATAATCTTGTGTCCGCATATCCACGCGCCAACGTAAGCGCGACAGGAGATTATACCAGGCTCGGTCAGACGCGCTAAGTAGTTCTCGTTATCGATCTGGCCACTCTTTTTCTGTACTCTCTGGTTGTTTTTCTAAGAAATGAGGAAGATAAATTGCGGAATATTGGAAACTATGTTCAATTATGCGTTTACATCGTACACAAATATGGAAAAGACATGCTAAACGTATTTGAAGTAGATCCACTACTTATACAAGACGAAACCTTACCATTATTCCATTGTATTGCGAAACGTATTTCACATACGATACCAGCGACACCATAAATAAACAAAATCTGCAGTCCAACGACCAGTCACATTACAACCTTTACTTTTCCTAGCGGGAGCGCAACACAAAAGACAGAAACGTCGAAAAACTACATTCGCTGTAAACAATATTTCACGACGAAGGAATCAAAAATGATCCGGCATAACCGTTCACACGTACAAACGTCGTCAATAAATCAGTATATGGTACAGTGTTCTTGTTTCCTCATCTATTGTTCGAATAAAATTTCGCCCGTAGGTAGGTGTGTATATCGGCGAAAAATGTCAGTGCGCCTTTTTACCCACCCCGCTATCCGCGTCGTCCCCTCTGTGACCTCCCACCACGCGGCGAATATCCTCCCCCGCAACCTCCGATGCTCGCGATCCGCCACCAACAGCCGCCCCTGCCCGCCCCTTTGATCGGCGGTCGTGCCAGGAGGGCGACAAGTAAGCGCGAGGAGGCGAGTTCCCTTGAAAGAACTGCGCAAAACACACTTTCGCGACGCCACGGCCGAAGTCGTTGTCGTCGTATCCGTCGCTCGGCTGTTGTCAAGTTGTATATTGTTAGTGATCGTCGGCGCGTTGCCGCAATCGCGCGCCTCCGATTAATCGTTCCACGATTCCTCGACGGATCGATTTTCGCCGTTCGATTGGATCACCGTGAGACGTACTCGATCACGAAGGCCTCGTTGTCGCGACATCCCGGAATGAAGCGCGACTTCTGTGACGCTCGCGATGGGAACACTCCAAAAATGGGCAAAACTCTGGTCGATTAAAAAGTAAAATTCATTTCCCAGAACGATGGTACGTATCGAGTCAAAGGTGCGAAACGTGTGAACAATCGTTGGATGGAAGAAACATCGCCGATTGTTCGAATCAAATTTTCCCAATCTCTGATTGTCGGCGTACGCGTCTGTCCCGCGTAAACGCGCCATACGTTCGTCGCGAGGTGATCGTGCGTTTCGCTGGATAAGCGTTCGAGCGAGAAAGAGGTTGCATCTGTGCATCGGAGCGAGAAGGAGAACGATTCGCGATTCATTGGAGAAAGAGAGAAAGGTTGCCTAGTCAAGTGTCGCGTACCACCGCGGAGCAAGTAGGAGGATCTTCGGAGGTGGGGGCAGAGGGACAGCGAGAGGTACGAAGTAGTTGACAATCGTCGCGGCGAAGAAGGAGGAGAACATCGCGATCCCGCGAAAGAGAGAGACGGAGAGTGAGAAAACGAACGGGGGTGGTGGGGAAACGTCAGAGTGTGCGGTCGTGTCCAAGAAAGAGGTGGAGAAGCTCCAAGCGACGGGAGAGGGGGCACCGAACAAACTACCGGGAAGAAGTCAGCGGCAAGTAAAGCAGCGCCGCCGAGGCTAAACTTCGGGATCTATCGAACTAAAATTGTCGTGTAGTTTCTGTCTCCTCTTCTCGCCCCTCCTAACGCAAACTACCTCCCCCCTCGACCCCACCAGAGCCAACACACGCGGGCAAGGGCAGCATCTCGGCCGGTTGCGCCCCCTCCGGGCGTTCGAGCACCCATCCCCTCCACGGAAACGAACACCGAACGAAGAGGGAAGAAAGCAGCGGTGGGGCGACACGAGGGACGAGGAGGAGCCATAGGAAAGAGCGAGAAGAAGAGATCGGAACGGCGAAAGTGGAAAAGGAGCGAAAGAGACGGGAAGTAGGGGAACTTTAGAGGGGGTTAGGCTGCGTTGGCTTGCCCCACGGGCAACTCACCATATTTTATTGTCGCGTTTGCCGACGCTAACCGCCGGGCGTACGGCTCCGTGTGCTCGATCTACGAAGATGCCGACCTAACTCGGGAGAAGAGAACTACACGGGAACTCGGGCCTACTGCACACATAGCCGCGGGTACGAATTCGCGCGAGTATACGAGGTGCCGGTAGTCGCATCGTCAGCCACCCAGCAGAGGTGGCACCGGGCACCCCCACCGCTACGCGCGGCGTGCCAGGTCTGGACCCTCCCACCCGTCTCGCCGAGGGCAAACCATCTCGCAAAAATCGTCCCCCTTTCCATGGAAGGAAAAGAACTACGGCGACGACTCTGCCACCACCACCGTCGGCCCGACCGTTTCTCGTCACTACCACCACCACCACCGGCGGCACACTACCATCGTTATCGCCAGCGCCACCGTCACTGTACCGCTGCCTCCTCCTACACCGCGATCAACCGTCATCCCGCGGAACGAGGATACCAGAACTTACGGACTCGGATCGCGTTGTTCGGTCCTTCGAGGAACGCGGCACTCGCAGCCGGTCGACTCGGCCTCTGCACGCTGCTCCAATGTGCGATGGTGATCGTCGCGTGAGTTCCACCGGTGGGTGAATCATTTTTTTTTTTCGAAAAAAAAAAAAACAGTGCGCGTGTGGATTGGTATAATTAATCGGTTTCGATATAACGAGGCATCGGCGGCTCGATCGGACTGCCCCCTCGTAGCGCGCGCAAAAGAAGTTTTCAAGTTACGAAGGGAGAGGGAAGAGTCGCATGGACGGCTCTCCTTCTCGTGCCCCCCTCTGAACACGAGCGAGAACATATGCATACATGTGGACGCACACGCGCGCGGATCGCGCAGAGGACGAAGACAGAAGCGCCGAGGCGTCGCACACGCGTAAACCGTGCCAGTTTGTAGTTGCTTGTTTAAAGAGTGCGCACCACCCGCAGGGACCGCACGAGTCCGCGACTCCAGAGGATCGTCGTCGGTGGACTTCCGTTTCGTAGAGGGGAAAAGAAGGAAGGAAGACGCGAAGAGAAGACGACAGGGTGCCCCCGAGCAATCTGCTGCGTGTGGAAAGGACTCTACGCGGAGGGGAGAGAAAAAAAAAAAGAGTGCGCGTGACAAGTCGATCCTTTCCTTTTTTACGAACCGTTCCTCCGTCACCATCGCTCGAGTTCTCGAGACCTAACCCAGACCTAACCGCTAGTTCCCTCTCCGTTCATCGTTTCGTCCCTCTCGAAAGCTTCCTCTCGCTCGCTCCTCCCTCTATCCCGTCTCGCTTTCTCGCTTCCATTCTCTCCCCGTCTTGCTCTCTTGCTCGCACCTCCGCCTTCCTATCCGCCGAGCGGAGGACTGGATTCCGTCGAAAAGAAACGACGATTCGGAGGATAGTCGCGACCGATCATAGCTGGCGCGTCGATCGGATCAACGCCGCGAGTTGGATCCCCGTGGATCATCCACCCTGCGCGTGAGATCTTTTCGTCTTTCCTGTCAGTGAAGCGGTAGCAAACTCTCGTTGACGTACGGTTGTCATCTTCATCGCCGTCAACGAATCCCCGAAGCCGGACGGTGCCGTCCGCGAGACCACGTTGCGGTCAGAAATCGGAAAACTGGTCCCAGCCTTTGTGTCCCCGCGTATGTGACAGTGCGAGTGTATACCGGAGACCGCATTCAGGGTCGAGTACAGTCGGCTAGCAGACAGTGCGATCAAAACACGCCGCGAGTGAGAAATTTTTTTCCACCCTGTATACGACGTTTGTGACTAGCCGTGAGACAGCGCTCCGTTATTCCCATTTGGCGTGTCCGACAGTGAGAAAAATCGGAGCAACGGAAAAGGAAAAGTGCTCTTGTATAACTTGGAGTGACTCTGTGAGAGAGCTGCGATACACGGATGCCACGGGATGAAACGATGATCGCGTAGCGGTGCTCGACCATCACGGCCCTGAGTGGCCGACACATCATGTCACAGTTCTCTTTTCGAGGATCGCCAAATCTACAGGTGAGTCCTCGCGTGATTTTCCGGCTACCTAGCGACGACGGGACACGCGATTACTCCCTGATGGATGTACCTTTGATGACGATCGATCAACCGTTCAAATCTATCGATTGGGTTTGGGAAATTTGTCGTTGGGATCCGTGGGACGTCCTATGAAAATTACATGTTGTTTCGGTAGGGTGCTTCAGCCATAATGGCCATAATAGGCCAGTTGGAGCCAGTTGGTGCCACTTGGTCAGACTCGCGATTTCTTTCGTCTCGAATATATATAAAAAGAGGTAGTTAATTCTATTATCGAATTTATATAGATCAATTTCAGCTTAAGTTTCTATTATTTTTCTCGTGAAATTTGGAGTAGATTAAGAAATTCGGTGTGGGCTAAAAAATTTGGAGTGGGCTAAGAAATTCTTATGTTCTCGTTATCGGTTCTCGATTCGAGCGAACGACCAAGAGGAATATTAGTTCGTCGAGCTCATCGACGAGGTGTTTATCAAATCCCGCCTTGGGCGTTGAAATAATTAGGACATTTGTATGTTCTCGTAATCAATGCACGCGGTTGCTATAACACTAATAGTTCGTGTACAAAGAGCAACATCGCTACGTTTAGTCCCGGATCTGCCAACGGTTCCCATCGCTTGGGTATTTACAATGCACGTAACAGCTTCTGCCTCGGGCGTCGAAATAATTAAGACATTTGCGTGCTCTCATAATCAGCGCATGATGCGGCAATTCCGATAGTTTCGATAGAAAAAGCAATATTACTGCGTTTCACCTCGCATGTGCTAATTGGACTTAACGGTTAGGCTTATCTGGCATAGGGATGGGGAATCTGTGGCCTGTTTCGCGTGTTTTATCAATTATGTGTTTCCTTGCTGCGTAAAGAGACTTCTTTAATTGTAGCGTAGCGTAAATAATTAAAATCGAAAATATTTCGGAGGCATGGTGTCTTTTTCTTGTTTAGTTCATGGAAATAAAAGGTAGATTACAAAATCGATGGATTATTCATGGGTTTCTACGATGAATATGAATTAAGATAAATTGATGTATTAAAACACATGTAATTAAATATTCCTTATGCTCTTAGTAAGCTTGATGTATTTGAATTTGCGAATTCACTGAGGCCTGTTTAAATCTCTCTGTCCACGCTAACATATTCCTCGAAACTTTGTTGTGATTTGCTCACTGAACGATCTTAAAACTCGCGAATGCTTTACCGTGGAAAAAGTATCTTGCTTCTATCATATTTCAATATAATCTGTAGATAGGAACACGAGACGCGATGAAACTTTGCTTACCGGCCTATCTAGGCATGAATACGCGACAACGACCGAGAGCAGTGCGCGCGTTTGTTTATAAAAGCCTCTTTCGAATAAAACTTAGGCACACTTTCTATGTTAGTATATTTATCCGGGCTGAGATCAACTCGCGCACTACGTAGATATGTTCCCTCGCAATTGAGAATTGCAATTTGTGAATCGAAGACACGGTTAATAGGCTCTGTTAGGTAGGCGCTGGGAATTAAAACGCCTATGAAACAGGCTCTCGGTATGTAAAGTGTAATGTGCTGCTCTAATTAGTGAGGTAGGAGCACCAATATTGGGTGCCTTCACGCCAATTTTCTTTAGGAAAATTACTAACCTTACTTTGTTTTATACTGGATTGCTCCATAACAAGTTACCAGGCTTTATCTCCTTACGCGGTTAAGATCGCATCGGAATGCGATGAAAAAGACTTTTCTAACCTTTTCCTGAACCTACAAATTATTTCGTTAGAGTAGACGCGTTAGAAAGACAAACATTGAATTAAAACTTTTCGCGTCAGTAATAGATTTATACTTAGAGAAAGCGGTAAAAATGTATACCGAATTGCACTCTTTAATCCAGTTGCTTTCATTACCGAGAAGACTCTTTCTTTTTCAAAAAATGATGAGTCAAGTGATGTAAGTGCGAAGCGTATCTACTATCTACGCGTGTGAGTGACGAGTGTTTGGAGCAGTATGTTAGGAGTTTGAGCGAGTGTTTAGATTAACGTTCCCCGTTGCTGGGAGGGGGTGAATGAATTCCAAGAATGCATGTCGAGATTTTGGCTGCAAGAGAACGAGTCACTCTTGAAAAGAGAGTCTTCGAGTTTTGGTCAGTTGCCACGAGAGAGTTACCGGAGTTGAGCAGAGGGAGTGCACGATCTAAGAGTTCTAAAATAGTTGACAGAGTTAGGATTTATTCTTAGTTTGTTCGAGCTTCTTTATGCGTATAAAATATCGTATAAACGCGTGTTATTTCCCAAGACTTGAAACGAAGACCCAACACTCTCATGATGATAACGGAAGTTATCTTGATTTAAAGTATCGTCGAATCACCACATTACAAAAAAAAAGGAGTAAAATAACAAATCATATCTTTTCAGATGTAGTTTTCGCTACTCGAGTTAAGAATTTATTTTGAGGATTACTGGTGCTGCTACCTTAGCGTGTTTTCACTGCATCAAAAAAACGGTATCAACGATTCGTTTAACTGATTTATTTCGTTCGCGATAAGAGATTCCAGAGTTGCGTCACTCTTTGCGTCACAAGAATTGGAGTAGTCTTCGGATCTTCTATCTACGAAAAGGATTCATATTCCCAAGCACAACAGACGCTACTGATTCAAGATACATTTTTCAAATGTTTTAAAGAAGATCGATGCTAATGTTGCAAGGTGGTGCATCGCGTAATAATAAATACAAGTTGAAAAACTTTTATACCGTGCTCGACTATCGTGTATCTTTTAGGCGATCACCTATGCTACCTGTACCGCAAAGAGAAGCAACGCGAAACAACGCAGTTACAAATTGCGCGGAAACGATATGGCAAGGAGCGCAAAAAAAAATGAACACGACACGTGCAAACGCATAGTCGATGGTAGGAAAAACTAAAACCCATTGAAATATCGGTGACAAGTGCACGCATATTTCACCTCTGGACGGCGGACATTAAAAGAACCGTCTGGTATACGTTTCGAGATTGTCGTCCAGCTACGGTCGTTGTCGTCCGGCCAGTAGACGTATGAATCCGGATATAATTTCAATCGTTTGAAAGTCAAATGTATTCAACGGTCGAAAGCCTCGACTATTTGCGTCTATCTGTTCCTTCTGGTGCGCGATTTCGCATGTGTCGGGCTAAACCAGTGCAAGAATTGTTCATACACCATGGTTCGCTCCAAGAGTACACAAGCTTTACCCGAATGTATTGAAGGTAATAGATGGGTTAATTGTTAAAATAAGATGATACGGTTTCCAATGAAGTTTAACTTATGCAAACGTTATTAACAGCAGTGATACTACTAATTAGACACACGCCGGGAAATCACGATGTACCAGAAAGCGGAACTTTCGCGTTCAAAATATCTCATTGCGTTCATCTACTCGTGTTATTCGCCTGATTTGACTCTCCGCGACCACTTTTTATCTCGCAAATTATAAGAAAAGCAGTGCGACACGATATCATCGTACATTCTAAAGGCTTCGACCGCCTCTTTTTACGCCCATCTCGAAGGAGGCGTATCTGATATGATCCAACAGCTACGATCGTGAAACTTGCGTTTGTTGGGATGTATTCTCGCTAATTGGTTATAAAAGATATTATTCTATGAAGTAGCATTGTTATAATGCAAGTTCGGAAAGTTTTGGAGTAAGATATCTCCGTTTATTCCTCGCGGAAGCGAATATCCTCGCTATCGTCTCGCATGCGCGTTTACGAGCTGTCGAGGGAACTCCTTCGCCCCGAAGAACTCGAGATCGTTGCATGATTTCCTACCGAGTTGTCGTTAATGAAATTGCACTAGAGGCTATGGTTTGCGGCTCTTTTGTAGCGAGAAATGGTATTTATTGGGTACTCGTAAAAGAGTACATATTCGTAAAAATACATATTTTTTCGTAGATACAATTTTCGCGCGTTTCTGGTGATCGTACGGTTTGATTCGCACTACTTTCCATAGATCTCTGCGTCGAATAGACGCGATCAATCGTTGAAATCCCGAGAGTTGCTTATGGAAACCACGAACAGAGGGCCGAAAATGGTTCGTTTCGGTGTTGCGACTGCAACGGATAATTTGTAGCGTGGGATCTTGTCTGTTGCGAGAATGGATAGCCGTTGGCAAGGCTGAGAGATTCGGTACCACGTGTCCTGACATGTTGCATATAGGTGTACGCCGCATACCTATGCGGTGTGCATAGCGCCGAGCTGAGAACATGTGTTGCCACGCCTAAAGCAACGTTCCGAAATGATCGAAGAGCTTGCGCTCGCTAGAATAATTATCTCGTCTTACCATCAACGAGCTTTTTGCCCTGCCACACCGACACACGAACACGCGTAATCCGTACCTAGGGTTGCCACCCCCGTATCGTAAGAAAAGAACCGGATGGGCTACAATTTTTTAAACACGAGCAGACTGAGATTTCTCCATTTTCGAAACAATTAAATAATCGCATTTCAACGCGAAATTTCCCGCTTTTCCATCGAACAACTCGTTTTGCGACCTCTGTATAAAAAGAGAGGCTGTCCCTGAAAATTAATTCGCTATCCTTGACGAATACATCAAACACTTAAACCTCCTTCATTGTCACTGTATTGACTTACGACTTGAAAATAACAAAAGCGTAATTAGCGGCGTGCAAACGCATACATAATACGTTCCTGATAAATATTTCAAAGGTAAAAGCATTATTCGTGTTGTTTTGCAAATTTGTTGGCAATTCAGCGAATAATAGGGTGATACAAACCGAGTGGTTTCTTTTTATAAGCGAATGAAACATATGTCGAACACCGGTAATAATATGGCGTACGACTAAATAGACCGTAAGCGCTAATGTCTTTCTTTAGACAAAGTAGAGTCGTGGTCGCTTCCACGCGTATCGTTATTATTTAAGCGGCGATACAAATTAATGGCCTATTATCTATGAGTATATCACTCCACTTACAATAGACCAAAACAAACAAGTAAGCACTTTAGTCACGGTTCTTGTATTAT